TAAACGTAATCCTTCTAAGTTTGAATTAATTTGTTTTAATTAATCTAAACACTCTATTACTATTCCTCCTATTATCTTACCTGATTCTAAAACTCTTGATGTCCTTCATAAGTTTCGTAGTCTAGGTTTTATCTTTGATTCTACTATGTCTCTCTCTTTTCAGATTAATAGTGTTGCTAGAAGCTCTTACTTTCATCTACGTAGAATAAAAAAACTTTTGCCTTTTCTTGATGATCCTACTCTTCTCCTTCTTGTTACTTCGTTAGTCTTATCTAGGATTGATTATTGTAACTCGCTCTACTATGGTCTTCCTGACTCTATACTCTATCCTTTAAGTAAAGCTTTTAACTCTGCTGCTCGTGCCCCTTTCTTTTCTCATATATCTCCATATCTTTTTCTCTTGCACTGGCTACCTATAAAATATAGAATAATTTTTAAAATTTGCACGTTCATGTATAAGTCTCAATCTAAATTATTTCCTAAATATTTATCAGATATATTAATTGAACCTAAACGCCCCGGTTTACGATCGTCTTCTTGTTCTCGCTTTTTCTTAACTCGTGTTAAACACTCTTTTGCCAAATCTGTTTTTGCTTTTTCTGGTCCTTTTCTCTGGAACTCTCTATCTACTTCTCTGACTACTTCTCCATCACTTGCGAAGATCAGAGCGGATCTCAAGACCCATCTGTTTTCAAAATTCATTCAGGAGCGCTGCTGAACATCGCGGAAATAGCGCTTTATAAGCTAATTGATTGATTGATTGATTGATTGATTGATTGATTGATTGATTGATTGAATCAATCTTCGTTTAGTGTGCAGAGACCCAGTTTCTTTGACGGCCTTTGGGACGTGTGCCAGGTACTTCAACAGCTGCAAGAAAAGTTTCCACTTCGTTTGACATGACCAAACCTCTGCAGACGGTGTTGCAGGCATTCGTCTTTTATATCATCTAAACCAGCATGAGGCAGGATTTCGGTAGATTTAATGTGGTCCTTCAGACTAATTTGTTGCATCCACCGGAAGATTTTCATATCGGTTCGTTGAAGTTGTTGTTCTGGTTTGGTTGTTATTGGCCATGTTTCTGCACCATATAACAATACTAGACGTATCACAGATTTATAAAGTCTTGATCATAGTGGTAGTGGGATGTCACGCCGCATCAATGTAAAGGCAAGGAGATGCCACTTATTCCAGGCTGCACGTATGCGTGCTCGAACGGCAGCTTCAGCTGTTCCAGTACAATCCAGAACATCCCCTAGATATTGAAACGATGTGACTTTCTCCACCTTAATGGCTTCAAAAATATTGCTATTTTGAATTTGTTGTTGTGAATTGATGCAAGCAGGACAAACAAAATTGGACATTTTAGATAAAGTACCAATTATTTTTGAACAACGTTTGTGACACCACTGGTTACACTGCTGACACTTGATTGAATTGTTACCTACACCAGCTTTACAAACTGAGCAGGGCCATCGTCCAGTAGTTGTGGATATGATGGTTTCACCAGTGTTAATTTGAACTGAGCATCGGACTTAAACGAACGTAAATATCTACTTGCGTTATTTTGAAACGCCTTGTTTTAAGATGATTTAAGTGTTCATAAAAATTAAAAACATTTAGAGAAAAAAAGTATAAAAATAATTAGTATACAATGCCCTATCTATTGCAAAATTAATCAATTCAGAATCAATCAAAATTAGTCCAATTCAAAGTGAAAAATTATAATGAATAAAAATTGTAAACCTTAGCTAGACAGAGCAATAACCACATTCTTAAGAAAGGACTCGGATCTTGCAATTGGTCCAAACATAAGCTTATGATGTTACTTTTAACTGTCATTTCCTTAAACGTAAAGTAAAACTTTTAAAATCTATTTTTATAAAATAATTTCGAAAATAACCTAGCCAGAAAGCAATTCAAGTAAATCAAAAACTCATTCAAAAAATTTAATTTGCACTTTAAAATTCTCGTTTTTGGTTTTCTATTCAAAAATAAAAATAATGGCGATTCCTCAGAGGTACATACGTTTGATATCAATGACATAACTATTTTAAAAGGTTAACAAATATTTTATTGCTGTTACGACCAAATCGTCTTTTTAAAATTTTGAATAAAGCCACCGAGGCCATTAGTTAGTTCGTTGTTTTTAGTTAGACTATTTCCGAGTAATTAGTAACCATATTTTAGTTTATGACGATGATTCTGAACTAACACTTTTTATTTTAATAAAGTGAATTGAAATTTATTTTCCCACCAAGTTGACCGTTAAAGCGAATATTTTCCATCATCATCAGTGACAAGAAAAAACTCATTATCGGTGACTAGAAAGAAATTCATCATTGTCGTCATCAACATCAACGTCGGAAAAACCCATCATCGTCAGCACCAAGAAAGAAAAGAGAGAAAAAAAAACAAATCAACAGTTTTTTGTGACAATTGTTTTAACATTCAGCAACAACTTAAAGAAAAAGGAGTTAATTAATTCTTTCCGACCTTAAACTTCAAAGTGAAACAAAAGTAACACTGTAACAAACGAACAGCAATCAATCTTCGTTTAGCGTCCGTTAAAGCGAATTTCTTCCATCATCATCAGTGACGAAAAAAAATTCATTATTGGTGACTAGAAAGAAATTCATCATCGTCGTCATTAGCATAAACGTCGGAAAAACCCATCATCGTCAGCACCAAGAAAGAAAAGAGAAAAAACAAATCAGCAGTTTTCAGTGACAATTGATTTAACATTTAACAACAACTTAAAGAAAAAGGAGTTAATTACTTCTTTCCGACCGTGAACTTCAAGGTGACACAAAAGTGACATTGTAACAAATCGACAGCAATCCTGAATTCTCAAAAAAATGTCATTTATAACCCAATAGATAAAACCGGGTAAAAATTCTAGGTTGAATAGAAATGAACTTTCAAAATATGTACAAAAAAAGGATTGGAAGGAAGAGAATGAGTAAAACAAAAAAGAAGGAACTAGATAAAGATAAGAAAAAAAAACCTTAAGAAGATAAGAATGAGAAGAAAAAGATAGAATCAGATCCCGTTAGCTTGAATTGGCACGACGACAAAAGAGAACAAATCAAAATCAAAATCAGTTTGACAATTCAAACAAAGACTCATGATTTGCTAGATTTGAAGACATAGCACATGTTTGCAGGCTACCTGAAAGAAGTTTATCAGACCATCTCAAGGAGCAAGTAATAAAAACATTTAAATCCAATTAAATGAAAAAGATAAAAATCAATAAATCAATCTTCGTTTAGCGTCCAGAGACCCAGTTCCCCGAGGTAGGATGTTGTTTTCTTTGCCATCAATTTTTTGCGCCAAATTAGACGATCAGTTGTATCCATTTCATTTAAATTTAGAGCTTTCATGTCTTGCTCGATTGTTTGCGACCAAGATTTCTTTGGACGGCCTTTGGGACGTTTGCCAGGTACTTCAACATATGCAAGAGAAGTTACGGCACTGTTTCCACTTCGTTTGAAATGACCAAACCACCGCAGATGGTGTTGCCGGCATTCGTCTTTTATAACATCTAAATCAGCACGACAGAGGATTTCGGAAGATTTGTCCTTCAGACTAATTCGTTGTATCCATCGGAGCATGTTCATGTCGGTTCGTTAAAGTAGTTGTTCCAGTTTAGTTGTCATTGGCCATATTTCTGCACCATATAACAACACCGGACCACTATCACAGATTTATAAAGTCTTGATCGTAGTGGTAGTGGGATGTCACGCCGCATCAATATAGAGGCAAGGAGATGCCATTTATTCCAGGCTGCACGCATGCGTGCTCGAACGGCAGCTTCAGCTGTTCCAGTACAATCCAAAACATCTCCTAGATATTGAAACGATGTGACTTTCCCTACCTTAATGGCTTCAAAAACAGTGCTATTTCGAATTTGTTGTTGTGGATTGATGCAAGCAGGACAAACAAAATTCGACACTTTAGATAAAGTACCAATTATTTTTGAATAACGTTTGTGACACCACTGGTAACACTGCTGACACTTGATTAAATTGTTACCTACACCAGCTTTACAAACTGAACAGGGCCATCGTCCAGTAGTTGTGGATTGGATGGGTTCACCAGCGTTCATTGCTTTGGTTTTGCTGATGTTGACTTTGAATCCATGATCGGCGAGTCTGGTGTTCCAATCTTCAAACATCAGTTCCGCACTCTATTCAGACGTGGCTGTTAAAACGATATCATCAGCATATACTAGATTCCAAATGTCACTTGTGCGTATCGGTTTTGTGATTTCTTCCATCACAGTTATATATAACAGTGGACTGAGAATCGAGCCTTGGTGAACTCCAACGCCGATGTCAAATGCATCTGTGTTTCCAACCGTTGTGCTGACAAGAGCCTTAGTATTCGTATACTAGGTGAGGCGATGATGGCGATGATGATGATGATTGTGATGAAGATGATGATAGTGATGAAGATGATGATGGCAACGAAGATGAGGATAGTTATGTAGTTTAACATCATTAATTAATTTATTCACAACTACCATAAACCTCAAGGTCATGGGCATGACATAAAACAGCATCCACGCTGCCTTGCGTGCTTTTGAGCGAAAGGCTAGGCCCACCGCTTATAACTGGTGGTTGTCGTCAGGATGAGTGTCCGGATGTAAAAACTTTTCGATAGATAGATAGATAGATAGATAGATAGATAGATAGATAGATAGATAGATAGATAGATAGATAGATAGATAGATAGATAGATAGATAGATAGATATAGATAGATAAATAGTGAAATATAAATAGTAGCCAATAGGAAGTAGCGGTCATTTTTATATAAATATAGCGGAATTATTTAAATAGGGATAGTTGAAAATAGTTGTTAGATAGTTGGTAACTACGTGATCGATAGTTGGTAGAGAGTTGTTAGATAGTTGTTAGAGTTTTGTTTGAATTGTGAGTTCGTGGTCGGTAACGTTTGTATCTGCCGTCAGTCGTCGGTACGTTGGTATTTGTTTGCCACTAGTCGGTAACGTAGGTGGCAATTCGTTTGTTATTATTGAACTGCGGTTGACAATGACATTATATATATAAATATATTTACTATAATATTCGAAATAAAATAGGAACGTGGTTATTTGAACGTTTGTTAATTTCTGTTACAGTTGTCAGTTTGTTGAGTTAATAAAAATTTTCTGTAAACATTTTGCCGTGTATTAGTTGCTGGTAAGATTCAGAGATTGAACCTCAAAAACTAGACATACGCAGCGGATGACTATTTCCTAGAAAATTATTTTTTCGGTGAAGTGTTAAACTAAAAAGCAAGATAGCGTAGTAAACCATATTTGTATTAATAAGTTCTGTGACAACTCAGCGGCATATATTTCCATAAAATGGAAAAATTAAGCCTTATTATTCAATATAGTTGTTTAATAAATATAAACATCTACAAACATTTAGCTACATACAAGTGTATAAGAAATTTCAAAAACTAAAAGGCTAAAACTAAAATCACGAAAATTAATAAAAAACAAAAACCTGTCCAGCGGGAAAGTCACAAACAATAAGGGAGAGTACAAAAGTGGCAGACTGTCTGCATTCAGCCTAAGTAGTAAAAAATGATTCATATACTAATTTTTTAAATTAACAACGTGTCAAATTTTTTACGTATTTGTGAAGTGGTTCTCGCACAATAAAAAAAACATATAGAAAATAGTACAACAACAAAATAAAAATCTGAAATACTATATATAAATCAATCAAACAATCTTCCTTTTGCGTCTAGAGACCCGGTTCCCCGAGGTAGGACGTTGTTTTCTTTGCCATCAACTTTTTGCGCCAAATTAGACGATCAGTTGTATCCATTTCATTTAAATTTAGAGCTTTCATGTCTTGCTCGATTGTTTGCGACCAGGACTTCTTTGGACGGCCTTTGGGACGTGTGCCAGGTACTTCAACATCTGCAAGAAAAGTTATGGCACTGTTTCAACTTCGTTTGACATGACCAAACCACCGCAGATGGTGTTGCTGGCATTCGTCCTTTATATCATCTAAACCAGCACGACGCAAAATTTCGGTAGATTAGATGTGGTCCTTCAGACTAATTCGTTGCATCCATCGGAGCATTTTCATGTCGGTTCGTTGAAGTTGTTGTTCCAGTTTGGTTGTCATTGGCCATGTTTCTGCACCATATAACAACACCGGACGTATCAGAAATTTATAAAGTCTTGATCGTAGTGGTAGTGGGATGTCACGCCGTATCAATATAGAGGCAAGGAGATGCCATTTATTCCAGGCTGCACGCATGCGTGCTCGAACGGCAGCTTCAGCTGTTCCAGTACAATCCAGAACATCCCCTAGATATCGAAACGATGTGACTTTCTCTACCTTAAAGGCTTCAAAAACATTGCTATTTCAAATTTGTTGTTGTGGATTAATGCAAGCAGGACAAACAAAATTCGACACTTTAGATAAAGTACCAATTATTTTTGAATAACGTTTGTGACACCACTGGTAACACTGCTGACACTTGATTGAATTGTTACCTACACCAGCTTTACAAACTGAACAGGGCGATCGTCCAGTAGCTGTGGATTGGATGGGTTCACCGGTGTTCATTGCTTTGGTTTTGCTGATGTTGACTTTGAATCCATGATCGGCTAGTCTGGTGTTCCAATCTTCAAACATCAGTTCCGCATTCTGCTCAGACGTGGCTGTTAAAACGATATCATCAGCATATACTAGATTCCAAATGTCACCAGTGCGTATCGGTTTTGTGATTTCTTCCATCACAGTTATAAATAACAGTGGACTGAGAATCGAGCCTTGGTGAACTCCAACGCCGATGTCAAATGCATCTGTGTAAATACTATATATAAATAATATCTGGTTGTGTAAAAGGTAGTACGATCCATGTTTCTATCTGCCGAAACCCTTAAAATAATTAATCAATTAATAAGTAAGTATGTTCATTAGAGAAAAAAACAATATTGAAAAAATTATGAATTGAGTGAACATATTTTAGGGGTCTTGGGATAAAGGTTTTATTCTGATAAGCTGATTGAGTAGCGACATGATACTAATGAATACGTTGACGAAGTCTGGTTCATATTAGTTTCTACTTTCTTAAAGAATCTTGAATCGAGTAAGTTGAATAATTTGAATAACTGTGCACGGTAGGACATGATGAAGGTAAGTAGCTGAAGCGTATTAATTTTATGACGAGAATTTGTAGTTTTTTTTATTATTCTTTAAAAAATCAGGATCTGTCAGAAGCAGAAACTGTTACAGCATGCAAGGCAGTCGTATAAAAGTAAACGAAGAGAAATAAATGAAATTAATAAATAAAAAACGGAAAAAGAAAAATGATTAAACATTGAAAAAATTGAAAATAAAATAAAGTAATGGTATAAAAAGGCAAATAAATAAAGTAATTTGTTAATGGACTCTATAATAATGTCTTAGTGAGATAGTGAGATGATCGATAAATGAAAACTAGATTGTGTGAATGATAAAATTTTATTGAGTATTTTATTGAGGTGTCTTGTGATAAAGGTCTTTTCCTGATAAGATGATTGAGTGACTACTTGATAGTTGACGAAGGTTGTTGATTTTTTGCCAACTTTCTTAAACAGTCTTGTATCGAGTGTGTTGAATATTTGAATGACGATAGGATATGATGAAGGTAGATAGTTGAGGCAAATAAGTTTTTTTGATGAAAAATTGTAGTTGTTGAATTTGGTGTGTAACAAAACCAGACCAGGAGGGAGTTTGCATATTTGATGTTTGAGATGATAAGTGATTCGGGGAAGTCGAATAATTTGATGCCTCTGAGATCATATGATAGAGTGTTTTGAGGGCGTGAAATGTTTGAAAACCTTTTGGGATGATACGATTGATATGAGGTGCAACATTAAGTTTGGAGGTTAATGTGATGCCTAATTTTTAAAATTGATTTGTGTGGGTGATTGATGGGTGTTCTTGAGGTAATGTTATTTTCTTACGGCTATTGTGAATGATGAGTTCGAATGATTTATTGAAGTTAATGAGTCGAGTTCTGATTGGATGGTGTATGAGTTAGATGATGGGATGATAAGGTAGGTGTCGTCAGCGTATTTGATGATTTGATTAGAGCTATGAAAAGTTTTGAGAGTAGAAGCATTGATGATAAAGGTAGATGGTCCAAGAACAGAACCTTGAACTGCACTAGATTTAATAGGTAAAGTAGATAAAAGAGTAGAGCTAAAGAAAGTAGAATGACTCCCATTAGAATGAAAATTTATTATAATATTGTAAATGTTGAATGTTGTCAGGTAGAGAAAGAGAGGCTAACTTATTTGAAAGTGAGAGTGTCAAAAGCTTTAGAAAAGTCAAGAGCAATAAGATGAAAAAAAAATTTTTTTTTTTAAAAAGATGTTATTATAAGAGTAAGAGAAATGATGGCAGATGTAGATGAGCCTGTAGGGCAAAATGCAAACTGATCTTGTAACAGTGGTTTGATAGATGGATGGTTGAAACATGGATAGATGAATGACCTAACGATGCAAACTGAATGACCTAAAAATGCAAACTGATCTTGTAATAGTGGTTTGATAGATGGATGGTTGAAACATGGATAGATGAATGACCTAACGATGAAATTTTCAAGAATACGTGAAAGTATGGGTTTGATAGATATTGGGCAATAATCTATTGGTGATGATGGGTGTTTTGTTTTAGAAATTGGATGAAGTATGCTGGATTTCCATTGTGATGGGATGAATGAAAGCATTATGCAGGATAGAGAATGGGGTAAATAGTTGATGTTGTTGACGACTATTGATTGTTGTTGCTTTTGTTGGTGGAGTTTTGTAGGACGGGTCGGTTGACGTGGAAGCAAGGTGGGTGTTGAGTGTGCTGGCATCAATTTGCGGTAAGGTTGACGTGTTGAATGATTTATCAGAGCCTCTGATCTTGTTAACTTGGTTTACATTAATCCCATATACTTTGTCAAGGTTTTGACCTTCGTGGGTTGGACCCCAGAATATAGGATGTAGACCTGTTTGAAGAATGGAACTTGGCACATGGCTTTGCTTCCACGCTTACTGTTAGTGAAGGTTTTTGAGCTGAAGTTGATGATGAGTGTTTTGATGTATTTGGTGATCGCTGCAGCTTTGAGGATGAGACCTGATTTCATGAATTTATTTATTGGCGAAGTAGATATTTGATGAATGGGCTGATGAATGAAGGGTCTGATGATTGATCGTGATGTTTGATGTTGGGTAGTACATGTTGTAAGATGAGTTGATGATTTTATAAAATTTATCAAAATAGTGTTGCAGAAAATTATCGATAATTAGTTATGACCATATTATCGTTACTATTGTTATTAACATTATTATCATCGGCACTATTGTAATTATTATCAGTACAAGTATTATTACTATTAGTAAAACTATTATTATCATTGCTATTATTCATATTATCAAAATTAATAGCATTGTTATTAATAATTGGTGGTAGAGTGTTGTTGGTGGTGATGATGCTGGTGTTGAAGATATTGTTGAAGTCGATGTTGTTGAGATGTTGAAAGCAGGCACTACTCTGTGAAGGATGAAAAAAGATGACTTTCCTTGTTATGTTGCTTCTCAATGTTGAGTTAGCTGATGGTGGGGCAGCAACCAACCCAAGATGATGTGTTGAAACGTGTGACCGATAAGTGTGAGTGATGTCCAGGTTTACATTAATCCCATATATTTTGTCAAAGTTGTGACCTTCGTGGGTGGGACCCCAGAATATAAGATGTAAACCTGTTTGAAGAAAGGAATTATGGTCGAGTTGATTAAAGCCATCACAATGATAATTTTTGAGTTGCTCACCAACGCAGTGTTGGAGAGTTCATCGATGTAACCCATCAAGGAGAAGACTTCGTATAATGGATTTGGGGAATGATAGATGGCGCAGATAAAGTATGGTTCACTGTCAATAACGCACTTAAGACAAAGGGTTTCCAGTGCATCATTGACAGCATGAGGCAAAACGATGTGAATTTGAGATGAAATGGATGACTTCAAATAGATGACAACCTCCTCCACGCCGCCTACCAGGACGGTCTTTTCTGAAGGGTGTGCTAGCCATCTATCACGATCAAACCATCAGGGTGATCTGGCCTAAGCCATGACTCGGTGATGATGATGTCATGGTGAAAATGATACACATCACATCTCAAATGCTCAATAGCATATGGCTTGACAATGCTAGTGACATTCAAAATGTAGATGGTGGGTGGACGATGATATGGGGCAATTTTGGCTGGGTTGTCAGTCGGGGTGAGTTTGATGTTAATGAGTTGGGAGGATTAGATGAAGAGCGTCGACTGGGGTAGTTGCTTCTTTTACGAGTTAATGAAACTACTACTGGTATCGCTGATGACGAGTTAGTGTTAGGTAGATGAGCAGGGGGTGTTGATGTTGAAGTTGTAGAGTGCTGTAGCGATTGAGGAAAAGAGGGGAGGTGCTGATGTTGGTGATGATCAGGATCCAAGATTTTGTTGAGGAATAGTTTTTCGTAGCGGACTTTTGATGGCGAATTAGTCTGGTTGAAGATCAAGCAATTGTTGGCGTGTGTATTGGATCATGCGTTCGTGAGCGATAATTAGTAACGCGTGATTAAAAAGAGTAACGGACGAAAAAAAAATTAATAAAACAAAACATAAGAACTTAATTGAGAAAATTGAAATTAGCTAAAAATAAAATAAAATTGTTATTTAAATTACATTAGAACATTTACCGATAGCTAAACACGTGCATGCACGCACCACCGGAAACCAAAAAAGGAAACAAAAAAAACTGAAGACCGATGAATTAAAATGCTGGAGCCAGACCAAGAAGAAGCTGCAGGTATGTGTCATATAATGAGTGATTTTGTGATTTGAATATTTGAGCGAAGTGTTTTGATTGCGTGAAATGTTCAAAAACCTTTTGTGAAGATGTAGTTAATAATGAGATACTATGGAGGTGAATGTAATTTGTAAATGAATCATGTGAGAGTTTGACGGATGTTCTGGAGGTAATGTTATTTTCTTACGACTGATGAATTCAAATGATTAATTAAGGTTGCATTGCTTTGACCATGCCGTTAATGAGTCAAGCTCTTCGATGGTGTTTGAGGTAAGTGATGGGACGAGTAAATAGGTGTCGTCAGCATAAATTGATGATTTTATTGGAACTATGATGAGTTTTTAAAGTTGAGGCATTGATGATGAAAGTTGAAGGTCAAAGGATAGATTCTTGAGTTAATGAGTAGGAAGGGTTAAGGAAAGTTTTGAACAGAAAAAAGTAAAATGATTACAAACAGAAAAAAAAATTCATTACGGTACTGTCAGATAAAAGAAAAGAAGTTAAATTATTTGTAAGTGAGAAGTGATACCGAGTATCAAGAAGCCAAGAGCAATAAAACGAACATGATTATTATTTTAAAAAAAGAGATTAAATTATAGAAAAGAGATAATTGCGGTGTATACGAACCTGCAGGGCGAAATGCGAACTGATCTTGTAGTAGTGGTTTGATAGACGGATGATTGAAACATACCTAACAATGAAATTTTCGAGAAGACGTAAAAGAATGGGGGTGGTTGAAATTGGGCGATTATTGGTGATTTGTTTTAAGAATGGGATGTATTGAGCAAGATTTAGATTGTGATGGGATGAATGGATGGATGAATATGTTATGAATGTGGTGTGGTGCCAAAGATGTATGGTGTGATGTTTTATAAAAACTATGTGCCGGACTGAATAATGTTAACTGTTGATGATGACGATGAGTAGTATTTTTTGGCGGGAAAAATTTTTTAAGACTGGTCGGTTGACATGAAAGTGGCAGTCCCACTGCATACCAAAGTTTCAATGTCTTTGTCACTGCTAACTTCTAGGAAATTTTCAAAACCTTCGTAGTCGTCCAATCTTCATCATTGCGATAATAACTTCCTTCTTCACGTTATCAACGTGCATCACAGTCGAAACATCTCTAGGAAAAACAGACTTGCAATCGTTTATGTAATTGTAGATAGTTGTATAAGCTGGTGAGATGATTGTGTTGTATCGGTCAGGAACACAGTTCCCTCCTCCGGTTTGTTGTCTAATTTTATTTCTGTATTGTTATCGATTGTCACTTAGATGATGTTCCTCCAGTGGCTGCCTGTAATTTCAGCATTTTGACTATTGCAAAAGATTATATATTTGGCTATAAGTAAGAACACACACACACACACACACATATATATATATATATATATATATATATATATATATATATATATATATATATATATTGATGAAAATCACAGCATGTTCGGCGTTAGTTAACTTCCATTTCAACTTTTCTATTTTTCTAACGGTTGATCGTAAATCATTTTCAAGTTTCTTTGTTCAAAACCAAAATTTTTGTTTATTTTAAGCATGATAGAACAAAAGCTTTTTTCGATATTTTTATACCATCTTCGGTGTTCAAATTGATATGTTGTGTGTGTGCCCAGACGCTCAAATATATATATACTGTGTCTCTACTCTACTTTGTTGATTCCTTGATACTTAACTGTGAATACTTAACGCTCATTTAATTAGTTTTACAATCTTCAACTTCGTTTACGTTTTTTTCATTATCGATGATTACTATGTTTCTAAATTTATTGGTATGAAGAATTACAATTGCCCATTGTTGAATATTTATTATCGGATGTCTTTGTTCTATGAGTATTGATTCGGTTAGTCTTAAATTATAATGGTTATTATTGTAATGTAAGATTTCAACATTGTGGCCCAAGATTTGTCTAGTAATTTAAGTTTTGTGTTTTTCTTTCATGTGATTCTTTATAGCGCCAGTTTGTATGTGCATCGTGAGTCTTCTCGATAACCTGGTCGTTCTCATACCAATATATTCGGAATTATGGTCCCACACTCACCAGTATTGCATTTGAACAAAGAAATGGCTATGATCCATTATCGATTCTGGTTTACTAGTGCAGTTGTTTTTCATCACAAAAAATTACATTCTTTGGTTGGAGTAGTATATTCGTAGTTTAATACTATCGTTTTCATTGGTTGCCTGGACGTTATTTTTTTATGATTCTATTCATGATTTTTTTCAATTTTTTCGAAAGCGGTTAACATGTGATTCTTATAATATATTACTATGTTATTTTTGTTACTATCGTTGGTTGGATTGTTGTTGTTGCTGATTTTTAGTTCTTTTCTTTCTATTATTTTCTGGATCATAAAAGTTTTATATCCATTATTAATGAGTAGTTTAGTGATTCTATTTAGTATTGTTCTCCTGCTTCCTATATCAGAAGAGTGCGTGTAGGCTAGGTTTAAAAAAGCAAAAATTGTGCTCTCTAGATATGTTTGACAACATTCACTATTGCCATTGAGGCATAAAACTTTTTGTTGCTTTGGTGTATACTGAGGTATTAAATTCATTTTGCACATTTTGTATTAGTACGTCTAGGAATGATAGTTTATTATCAGTAGATTTTTCATTGTAAACTTAAATTGTGACGAATTTAGTCGTTGTAGAAGTCTTGCTATTTGATCATCATCTTCATAAGTAACAAATATATCGTCAACGTATTGGCAGTATATATTAGGTTTTAGTTCTGGTTCTTCTTTAAATAACATTTCTTCGATATGTCCAACATAGATGTTTGCAAAGAGTACAACCGTCTATTTGCTGATATAGTGTGTTACCCGGGCCAACGAAAGGCGCTTCGGCTGAACATATTCTTAGCGGCGCAACTAATTCACCTTGGAATCGGTAGTGGTAAATGACTGGAATTGTATATTCAATCTATTATTATGCTAATTGTGTCCTCTACAGGGACATTTGTAAACAGTGACTTCACATCCTATTTTATGGTTTTGTTGTAAACAATAAGTCTATGAATTTCCTACTTGATTTTAGGTTGTAGCTGTTAGGAGTGAACTCAAGAAACTTGAAAATGATTTACGATCAATCGTTAGAAAAATCAAAAGTGAAATTGGAAGTTAACTAACGCTGAACATGCTGTGATTTTTATCAATAATTGCATTTCTGACAGTCTTAATCCAATATATATATATATATATATATATATGTTTGTGCTAGGATAGTGAATGAACGCATTTGGATTTCTCTGCGTTTTTCTTAAATTTTGGTGTTAATTTGGATATTATATGATTGAATTGGGATTTGTTTAAAGGATAAAATTAAGGGAAGTATTATTATATTTTGTTTTTCATTAAATTGGTTCGAATTAATTAATTTAGATTTAATTGTTTATTTTAGGATTTATACAAGAAAGCTAATATTTAAGTTGTTTTTTGGATAAGTTCACTCTTTGTTGATTTTTGAGGTGTAGTTTGCAGACTTAAACATTAACAATTAGCATTAATTTACATTTGTTTGTACTGATTTGTTAATAAACATATGGCTTGAAGAAATAAATGCACAGCCTGAGCAGGTAAGGTGCCAATGAACGAAATGCTACACTGCAAATTTTGTGAGTTGGTGATTCATTGGAAATGCGTTTCCATTTCTGAGCAAAGAATGAAGGATATTCAACAATGTACACTGTACAGGTTTAATATGGTGTTGTAGTGGCTGTGTTGGACCGATAGAAGCTTTCAAACCTGGCAGTCAGTTAAGCGTGATGGAGGGGATATAAAAACGATTCATGAAAGCAATGCGGTTATTAATAACCAAATTAAAAATTTGTGGGGCAAGTTTAATAAAACGCTTGTTAATGATGATTTGAACTTGGCGATGAAGAATCTAGAAAACAAAATGAACTAAAAAATATAAAAAACATACAAGATTGCAACAACGTCATTAGTGGTCAAATAAAGGAGATAAAAACAGTACTTGATAAAATAATCACGGAAAATATTCTAGATAAAAAAATAAATTCACTACAAGATGGTCTTAGAAAGTCATATTCAGATGCCATGAAAGATGTAAATGATTTCAAAGACTGATACTATTTATGAATTATTACATGAAGACTTAGATATTCTTGTGTTAACAGAAACCTGGTATGGTTCATCAGATGATGTTTCGGTTAAATTAGCTATGCCCCAAGGATTCAGGTTTGTTAATTGTTTGCGAAGAGATGATCCATATCATGGGGGATTAATCATCTACTTTCGTGATCGCTTTAAACACAAAAAGATAGCTTTGCCGAAATTATTAACATTTGAGGCAATTGTGGCTATATTGACAGTAGGCACAGTTAATGTGACAATGTTGTGTCATCCCCTTCAAGGATTCTAACAGGTGTCCCTCAGGGTTCAATATTGGGACCTTTGTTGTTTATAATATTTGTGAACGATATCTTTTCTGTATCAGATAGATGTACTGTGATGTTATTTGCTGACGATACCAGTATTTTTTTGTCAGGTAAGAGCCTGCTTGACTTATTCACGGAGATGAATAGCAAGCTTAGTGTGATTTATGAATGGTTTTTGTCCAATCGGCTGACAGTGAACATATCCAAGTCTTGTTATGTCATCTTTGGTCCCTCGATAAAAACGAACAAGGTGCCCTTGAGTGGCCTGGAGCTGATTATCCAGGGCATATCTCTTCCACGGGTTCATTCGGTAAAATTTTTGAGAATTGTTATACTAAGTGATCTGAAATGGAATGAGCACATCGACATGATCGTCCATAGGCTGTACCGTGCGGTTGGGATTCTGTTTAGAGTGAGAGACAGGTTGAATGTCAAGTAAATGATCTTACTTTATTATTCTTTTTTTATCCACATTTGTTATATGGAAATGTGTTTTGGGGATCCGCCAGTAAATATTGAATCAATAAAGTTTTAGTGATGCAAAAACGTTTTATGCGAATAATTTTTTCTTTGAACTTTCGCGATCATACTGATGACGTGTTTCGTAACCATCAAATTCTTAGAATAGAACAATTACATAATTTTAAACAATTACATAATTTTAAACAAATGTTTATAAAATACTTATTAATAAAGATTATGAGCCGTTAAATTTTTTTGATAGGGTTCGGACAACTACCAGGCAACGTGGTCAATTGTTGTTAAAAAAATTTAAAACTTCCACCTACCAACGTAGCTGGATAATAAGGGGTCCAAAATTATGGAATGATTTGGCCATGGATGGTCAAACACATCTGTCTTTGAAGAGATTTAAGCTATGTGCAAAAGACGCTGCGGTGACATATGGGCGCGCTAATTGACTGTGTTTATATATGACCTTTATTTTGTTGTGTGATTCAGTACTTTTTTATGCAATGTATTTGTTTATTAACGTGGTTGCTAAATGTATTTAACTAATTTTATGAATGTATTATTATTAGTCTATTATTGTAATTTTTTGTTTGATTTTAGTCATGGGGGTCTTTGCAAGTACTTTTGTTACTTTTTTTGATCTCCTGACTTTTTTTTGTCAAATAAATTTTGAAGAAAAAAAAAATGTTGCACTATTTGTCATTTATCGACATTTATTTTTGTCAAATAAATTTTGAAGAAAAAAAAAATGTTGCACTATTTGTCATTTATCGACCAGAATCGCAGTTGGTTTCTAAAGCATTTTTTCAAAAATTGACCAGTGTCTTGGAGAACATAATGTTATTGAGCGAACATGTAATATTATTAGGTGATTTGAACGTGCATGTCGAAAGAAATGATGATGTTATTGCCAGGCTATTATCGAATGTGTTTGGCATGTTTTCAATGCGAAATGTAATAAAAGAACCCATACATATGCATGGTGGAACGTTGGACTTGGTGGTAGCAGTAATCAATATGCCTGTTACTCAATGTTAGGGTATATCCTAATGGTGTCATTTCTGATCACAGTTTGGTTTCATTTTGTTTGCCAATAGTTTGTTCCCCTATGTTAAAGGCTAAAAAGACTGTACGAGCATGGAAGCGTGTGGATGAAAATTATATGATTACCTTGATTAATGGATCTCCGAGAAGTGGTGCTTGTAGATAAAGCAGCAGAACTCTTCAACAATGAAATGACAAGAATTGCTAATATTCCGTCTCTTCATGTTGTTGAAGCAAGAATGGTTCAAACTGCACCATGGTTCGCTAGTGACTGTAGAGGAATTAAACGTCAAAGGTATGAACGCAAATATAGGAAAAATAAATGCATGGTTAATAGGCAGAACTGAATTGGCCTAATGAATATGAAACAAGAGCATTTTGCAAAGAAAAGAGAATCATACTGGACACCACCACCACCAACATGTTTAATCCTAACAATAATAACAGTTAATTGTAAATGTTAATAAATTGTTAAGAAGCAAAGTCAAACTTGACACCATGCCTTCTTCGGACACTGTGGTTTGTTGACCATCAATAAAATTTGGACCTCCGATTAACACTAATACTAACAACCCTAAACAGTTATGGCGAGTTTTAAACAAGGTTTTATGTAACAAAAAACTAATACGGTTGATGTTGCAAACAATAAAATTACTGCCAGTGAATTTGTAGAGTTTTTCAGGTAAAAGATTGTAAACATTAAAAAAACCATAATAGAGCATGGAGTACCTTCTTCCAGTTGTAAGGTTAAAAAACATCAAGTATTCTCGAATTTTTTGGAGTGCTCAAGTGATGATGTTAAGGCAGTTATTTTGAAAGCCTCTGACGAGTCTTTTCAAAAAACACATTGAACTGTTTTTGCCGTACTTGACGGATTTGATCAATATGTGTTTGAAAACTGGAAGTTATCCAATGATTTTTAAAAAAGCAATTGTTACACCTCTATTGAAGCAACCATCGTCCAATTTTCGGAGTGCTCAAGTGATGATGTTAAGGCAGTTATTTTGAAAGCCTCCGACGAGTCTTTTCAAAAAACACATTGAACTGTTTTTGCCGTACTTGACGGATTTGATCAATATGTGTTTGAAAACTGGAAGTTATCCAATAATTTTTAAAAAAGCAATTGTTACACCTCTATTGAAGCAACCATCGTCCGATACAAATGAGTTAGAGTTTTCGTCCTGTGTCAAATTTGTCGTTTATAGAAGATTGTTGAAAAGGTGGTTACAAGACAGCTTTTGCAATACTTGGATGAAAAGAATCTTCTTCCGTGCTTTTAGTCGGGATACAGAAGATTCCACTCTACGGAAACGGCACTGTTAAAGCTGTTGTCAACGTTATTTCGGGCATCAGATTCAAAGCAAGTGACATTGTTAGCTTTACTTGATATGAGTGCTGCCTTTGATTGTGTAGATCAAAATATACTTGTTCAAAGAATGTCAACAATCTATGGAATCTAAGATTTTTCAAGTCGTACTTAAATGACAGATCACAGCGGATATTTTTTGGTAATGAATATTCGGATGAAGAAAAAATGTTAACCGGCATCCCTCAGGGATCGGTGTTGGGACAATTTCTCTTCTTGTTGTATACGGCTGATGTGTTTGACATGATGGAGAATCATAAGTAGAGTGTTATGCGTATGCAGATGACATTCAGTTAGTATCATGTGCTCCTGTTAAAAAGTTTGATGATTTAGCTGAAGGACTGAAAGATGCGTTGGCTGCAGTAAATATTTGGATGTCACAAAATGGAATAAAATTGATTTTATTTTTATTTACGTTTTAATTATATAATTGAGTTGTCGAGTACGTAATGTATGTGGGTGTTTTATGTTTTATGCTTGGATGTGCTTACGTTGAATGTGTTTTGGATGTTATGAGATGTGTGTGTTTCGTGTGTTTCTAATAATTTGAATTGATTTATTAATATTGTGCGGGTGGTTGGCTATTTGTCTGTTGGTTGTTCTGAATTATTGTTATTGTGTATCTTCTGTGCATAATTGTGTGTGATTGGTGTGGGTAAAGTGTGGATGAACGTATCTATGATTTGGTTTAAAATAGTTGCTGTTTGGTTCTTACATGGTTGTTACATGTGATTAGGTATGGTCGAGAGTATATGTGTGCATCTATATATGAATTTAAAGGATTTATCCGTTTTATATTAGTTATTTTTACAATGAATACTGTTTATTACATAATAATATTTGTGGATAAAAATTGCTATTGAATGAGTTAGCTTGAATTTGAAAGTGTACAGATATTTATGATTGATATGAGGTCAAATAATCCTGTTTATTTAGTTATTACTTTCTATTATGTTTATATGTGTGTTTATGTGTGTGTGTGCATGTTTTATTCAGGAAATTAATTATTCTCTGCTTTACTTTTTGCTGAGTAGATGAGATAATTGTTATATCTATCTATCGGCAACTCTGTCGGTAAATGGATATTATCCATGGGTTATAATGACTTCTAAAAGTTATTTAGCCTTTTTGTATTTACTGCTGTAATTGTATCTGCACTTTCAATTGTTAGAGGTTTTGGATGCATGTGTATATATCGGTCGTGGGTGTGCGTGCTCTTTGTGAGTGAATTTGAATTGTGTCATGGGACCTTATTTATTGATTCTTGGTTAATGGCATCTTTATTTTATGTTTATTTTCAAAATATTTATGTTTTTGTTTGATCACTTAAATGGACAAAATTTTTCTTTTGGTTATGTTGGATAGCGACTTTGGGTAGTTCTATAAAAGTAGCTATACAAGTTTTCTTATAATAAAAAAAAATAATATATATATTACATACATACAAGTTTCATTAAATTCTATCGATATAGCATAATGTATTAATTTTAATTTCTTTATTTTTCTAATAATTAAATGTAATTTATTATTCAGTTTATTAATTATATATATATTATATATAAATATAATCAACTCTGAAACTTACATAATATAATATATAAATATATATATATTATATATATATATATATATATATATATATATATATATATATATATATATATATGAAAATAGTTGATTTGTCATCAGATACATCGATATATATATATATATATATATATATATATATATTATATATATGTATGTGTGTGTTGGATGTCAGAAATGCAATTATTGACGAAAATCACAGCAGATTACATTGGTTGCATTGTAGATTTGTAAAGCGCCTCTATTGAGCTATCTTCAGGGGCGCTAACTATGCTTCGTTTTATTGAAAAAATGATGTTTGAAGCCGCCTCTAAAGACGTCACGACTGACGTCAGAGTTGACTTTTAAATCAATCGGTAATGAGTTCCAGGTCCTGGCTGCTGCAACTGAAAACATTCTTGCACCAAAATGAGATGCTTTGAACGGAGGATAGACAATATCTCCTTGCTTATTATTATCATTATTATTATTATTGTTATTATCATTATCGTTATCATTATCATTATTATTATATATTATTATTATTATTATTAAATAAAAATAATAATTAATAATATTAATAATAATAATAATAATAGAAACGATATTCTAATTAATTTCGCGCTTCAAATTTGTGACATTGTTGGTTGCCATCTTGACAACGGCCACGTAGCATGAACAATCGTATAATTTCAAATATTTTGTTTACTAATTTCAATGAACCTTTGCGTTTTTATTTCGTTACTTTTATTTTATTTTAATATATTAAAAAATACAACTAATTAACTATTAATAGAATTTATTTAAAATATATATTGCACTGATGATGACTTTACGTCGAAATAGATCTATATGCATAACTTTAATAATAATATAAAAAATAAACGATTATAAAAATGGGATCTTGCTTGATTAATTTTAACAATTAAAATCATAAACGATTATAAAATGGATTTCAACATTTTGAATAGACTTAATTGTAAAGAACTAGTTCAAAATATTAGAAAATCAACCATAAAACTTGTTAATGCTGAATCGTCGGTGGATTTTTTGTACATATATATATATATATATATATATATATATATATATATATATATATATATATATATATATATATATATATATATATATATATGTTGTAAAATCAACGATCCCATCATCAGTCTTGTCTGTACGAGAATTAACTACGCTAATTCTGTATATATGAAAATCGCAGCATGTTCGGCGTTAGTTAACTTCAAATTTAACTTTTCGATTTTTCTAACGGTTGATCGTAAATCATTTTCAAGTTTCTTTAGTTTAAAACCAAAATTTTTGTTTATTTTATTCATTATAAAACAGAAAAACTTCGGTGTTCAAATTGATATGTTGTGTTTGTGCCCAGATGCTCAAATATTTTTATACTGTGCCTATTTATTAGTTCCTTATTTGTTCAAAGTGAATATTTAGTTTTACAATCTTCAACGTCGTAAAATATAACATTTTTCCGTGTTTTCATTATCGATGATTCCTCTGTTTTTAAATTTATTGGTAGGAAGACATGGTTTCTATAATATACGATTATATGATTTCTGTAATATACAATTATGTCGTTGTCATTGTTTTAAATATATTGATATATTGTTGTAGCCTTTATCGAAAAGTGCTCTAAATGGATGAGGTTTTGTAACCATTGCTTACTAGTAGATTAGTAATTCTTTTCAGTTCCGTACTGCGATCTTCAGTTGAGGATGAATGCGTGAATGAACGGTTCACAAAGGATTTTATTGCACTTACTTTGAAAATTGTTCATTACATTCACTTAACACATTCAAACAAATACCTTTATTTGTTACTTTGACGTATACGGCATTTGTAAATCTTTGTTGGTCAAGCGTTACCAAAACATCCAGAAATGACAATGGCTCGATGGTGAAATTCAATTTCGATTGGTTCAGGGTTGCTAGTAGCTGGACGACTTGTTCCGGATCATCGTATGCGACAAAGATATCGTCAGCACATCTGGCATAAACGTTTGTTTTTAATTCCAGATTGTCTCTAAACGTTTTGCTCTTAAAATGTCCTAAAAAGAAATTTACGATCAGAACACTGAGTGGTGACGCCCAAAAGTACGAAGAATTTGCAAAAGTACCTAAAGATCATTAACAAGATGAACAATGTGGTCTACAGAATCCAAGATAAGAAAAGATAACGAGCTACAATAAAGGCTGTCCGTTTGGATAGGTTAACCCCCTATTCAATGAGGAAAATCGCCTATGTTAGGTATTAACAACCAACGCAATAGTCGAGATGCGCTATATAATTAATTTCAATTATCTTGGTTGTTTTATAATTCTATGTTGTATATTCAACGCAGCTCTCAATATATTGTTAAATAATCTTAAATAATACAATCTTTGCTCGGCACAAGTTGTAAAAAGTGAGGTTAGGGTTGTTGCATTATGGAATTGAGCTGTGAATCATGCAAAATCTAGTCATTCTGTGATCAGCAAGTAATTAATTGGTTCTATTAATGATGGCATTGAAATAAAGTCTGTGTTTGAACCGAATAAAGATTGAAAACTTCACGATAGTTAAAAGTTACATTAATATCTTTAGACCATAGCGGAATAAATCGCGCAACAATGTCTTGAAGTACAATATATACTTGTGTGAATGGATGTGTGAGGGAAAAATGCTATTATGTAATGCATATTAGATCAATTCATAAAACTTGCAAGAATTTCGTTTATGAACTAAATAAACATGAAAAAGAAGAATCATTAGAAAAACTGAAAACTTTAGTTGTAAACTAAACAATGTAGAAAACGTATAGAATTGCTTTTCTATAAAGTTCTGTTAAATTTTATTACAACAACAACGCAGCTCTTAATATATTGTTAAATAATCTTAAATAATGCTGTCTAATGATTTCATAATGAACGTAAATGAATAATGAACGCTTCTTGAAATTATATAAACCCTAATTTTTTTGATAGCCACTTTACAAATATTATTTTATGACATCTGAAAAATATGAAGACTAAGTTTTAAAATGAGTCATTTGAACGTAGTTTATAACTTTATTGTTGAAAAAAAAACGCTTTCGATTAACGACGACTTCTCACTTCGTTAAAACTGAAAACTTGAAAACATGTAAAAACTGGAAAATTACCAAAGTTATTGGTAAGATTTGAATAATCATAAAAAGTAGTTTGGTTGATGGAGTAATGGGTACACAATTATAGTTTTAGCAAAACTCAGTTAATGAAATAATTGAAAAAGAATCATTTCAATTTAAAAAAACAAAACCATAAAACAGGTTGGCAAACTTTTTCCTGTGAGGGCCGCATCGAGAACTATTTTACCTTTAAAGGAGGAGGGTAGAATTTTTTTTTAAGATGTTTTTAAAATTTGTGGCTTACGAACTTTTTTTGTCAACAGTGCCTCGCGGACCGCTTAAAATGGCTTCGCGTGCATTGAACAAAGACAGCTATGCAAAATTTTTTATCCGATAAATGATTGTGAAATGAAAATTAAATCTATTTAAAAAATATCAATTAAAAGAATAACCGTCGTTGAAATGTCAGATAAAACATCAATAAAATATTTGTGGCCATTGTCTTTTACTAGGTCTGACTGACAACTCTGAAAATGAATAAACAATGTTTAAAATAGTGTATAGATTGACGAGGTTCGCAAATAAAAAAAAGTAGGCATTTGGAGAAAAAAATAGATTTATGATTTCTCCATGATGCTTAGCAATTTTCCAAAACTTCAGCCAAAAGCAATCTTGTCAAATTGAAAACAGATCACATATGGTTAGGGTTTGCAAATACCAACTAAAATTCCAGTTTTTTCCTGCCACACAAGTCTTACTGAATATAGGAAATCTGCCAAACTACCGTTTAACATATCAACCTTTTCAGTTATCAAACTTACTAATTTAACAAATTACTTATACGTTCAATGCCAATCAAAATCAAAATTAAATAAATAATAAATGAATTAATCTTAATCAAAAGATCGACTGACTCCAATTCTGCATTTTTAATTTACATTTTTCTTTTCATCTGCAGTTTTCAAAACAAAATTGTAATTGCTATAGAAACTGCCTTCAGATGTGCTGTCAAGACTAAAAACTCCATTTTTGCATATGAGTATCTCATTTAAATAAATTAGAAAATAATATAAATAAAATGTTGATTATTTTTAGCAACATCATACGTATTCATCCTCGCTCATGAAAAGCAGTCCATTTAAGATTTGGCACAGAAACAAATAGCTTTTGTTCAATATTAAAATAATTAATATTATAACAACAATTAAACAATTTTAAGCCGATAAAAATTAACTAAATTTATCTGAAAATTATACCAACATTATCGACTGCAAGCAGTTTAGCCCAAATGAAAACTAACAAAGTTCTCAACTCTCTAGCTGAACTTTGCAGCAACTTTAAGACGTATGGAAAAATGCCAACTGAAAGAGCCTAACAAAAGTTTGTTGTGATATTCATTTATAAAAAAAAATAACAAATTGTAATTATTAAAAACATATACAACAAATGATTGTAATAAATTAAAAAAAAAAGAATCCTTTTCAGTCGAAGTTTTTTATATAAAGATTTAAAAAAAAGGACAGCATTATGAATAAATCAATAAAGCATATTCATATAGCCTTTCAACAGCAAGTTTCATTGTAGTAATAAATTAAACTGCACAGCTATTCATTTAAATTAAAAACTGTCGTATGTCGGGGTTTTTATGATGGGACTGGAAACGAGTTAGTCTCCGAGAATGTTCTTAAATGTTTTCCCATCAGATATTCAACATTCTTGCAGAAACGTAAACCACAGTGACTATCTTTATGTCTTGCACTAGTTCCAGTTGCTTCATTCTTTCAATTTCTCAACCGACTTAAAATCTTTTGATCAATTATTATTGAATGTCATTTTGGTTTTTGTTTGATATCGTAATGTTTCCAATCTTGTCTCAAACGGTTGCAGTCGATTCAAAACAAATCGGTTAAATGTTAATTCATCCGCTTACCCACATTTAACCAACGTTTTTTTCAACAAATTAATTAAAAAATTCAAATAAAAACAAATTTATAAATTTGAACCTTATTTATTGAAAAATGTAAAATCACTTCAATAAAACAGAATAAACACATACTAAATTAACGGCCCATTGTCCAAGGTCAAGAAACCTGCCAAGAAGTTGCAAAGCCCTTTGTCTATGTACCTGGCTCAATAAAACTTGCAAAACAATTGGTAATTGTTCTGGAGGATTCAAAAAAGACTGATCATTGGGTTTCATATTGATTGCTCCATCAAGCCATAACTCAAATCCAGTTAACTGATCAGAAAAAAAAGGGCTGTGTTGAAATGCAGAAGAGTCTTCAAGGACTTTTGGAAGTTGTTGAAGAATTCCATCCAGCGCATATTCCCAAGCTAACCTTTGATAAAAATATAATGTAAAAAACATTAAATAGTTTTGTTAAATCTATGCTGCCATAATTATACAAATTTTTTTTAAATGTCTTAACGTCATAAACACAAAGTTAAATCAAGCGCACGGCCAATAGATAACATTGAACAGACTTATCTAAAACAAAAAGAGTAAATTCCAATGTTATCTTATCTGACTCCCTTTTTACCTTTCTAATCTTAAGTTTAAATGTATTTGTATTGATTAAATTTTATTTAACGACCAACCACATAAAATGATGACGTGTAGATGGTAATCGAGGTATTGAGATAGGAGAACAGTTGTAAAAGTTTAATACTTTTTCAGCCAAAAGAAAATTCCTAAATAGGCTTGCAACAAGAAGATCTTGCCTAAAAAGCTTTTGAAACAATTCTGAAATAAAACAATCGCTAAGATAATATAAAAAAATAAAAACCAAAATACTGTTTTAAAGACAAAAAATTAGTCAAACCTCTAGATAGTGTGTTCCATGCAATGGTGTCGGTGACAGCTGTAAAGATCCAATTTAATTCACCAAGCATTGTTCTACGATCATTAAGTAATCCTGGAATTCTGTTGTTTTTAATTACGTGCTATACAATTCAGTCTATTCATCCATATCCAGAACACTATAATTTCCAAACACATTTTTATCAAAAAATACAAGATATTACTGAATGCTAACTGATCAGATAAAAACTGATAACCAAAGACTTCGCATTTAAAACTAATTCAACATCACTCAAAGGCTTGATTTATTAGTGACATGGTGTAATATAATTTATGGGCGAAATGGTTGAAGACTGTTGCAGTACCTGGATCCGGACACAGAAGATATTCTCAAGTATCAGATGCAGTGTGCAGTGTGTAATAAAAAATTCATAATTCAGTCGCAAAAAAGCATAAAATTTATTAAACAGCTATTCATTTAAAAAAAAACAGTTTTTAACAAGTTTCTGAAAGCATATTCGCTGGAATAGTCAAAATGACGTTATGCAGATTACGTTGCGTTAAATAATTAAATTCAATTAATTATTATTAATATCTTGGTTTTATAATTTTATGTTTCCATTCGTTAGAATCAGATATCTTTGAAGCACTCGATTGTAAATTTGCATAGCACGATTTAGTTGTAGAGTGGAGAAAGGCTAGAGTTAGAGTTGTAAAGATGAATCGTTTGAAGTTTATATATTCGACTGAGATTAGTTCCGCGTTAAAGAGATTTAATATTTGGCGATTTAATATTTCAGCAGCCTGGTTTAGAGTTTGGATTGTTTCTTTTTTGATTTTACAAAGTTTACGTGGTACCGATGTCGAACCCACAACATTGGTGTCAGAAAAAAGATCTCTTGACATTTCAACGATAGCAAATTAAAGGATTTATCGAAAAGCCTGCTTCAAAGCGAGTTGCATTGTTCCAAAAAAAAAATAGAATAGAGCCGAGCTTGAAGAAAAACTGAGGAAATTCGTTGGAGAAGTAATTAAGGAGTATCAAAAGTTTTAGAAAAATCAAGAGCAATAAGATGAACATGATCATTATTTTTGAGAAAAAATGTTAGTATAGGACAAAGACCGAACAAAAATTTAAGACCGAACCAAGAAACCTATAAACTATGTCTGTCTATAAACTTACACAGCGTTATATAGGTTTTTTACTGCCGCCATACCTACCACTAGATTCAGGAATCTCCACCACCCATCTTCCCAGCTTTGGCCCCAATCTGGTTTTATAAAAAAAAAATAATAAAAAAAATTCTTTTCAATCTCGACCTTTTTAGATCCAAAGTCGAAAACCACTGAGATCCTGATAAGATATCCATTATATTGTTAACTATACGGATAACTATCTTGGTGACCGCGTTCAATGTTTTGCGTCTTGTGGTGTGGATAATGTACACTACAGCCTTTGTGGCACGAATGTTTAATTCTAAGTTTAGAATAATATGTAAGCAATTCTGCGTTTGACAAAGGTGCATTTGAAGAATAAAAAAAATGTAACAGCAAGGTGAGATCGAACTATCGACAAGTCCCTGGATATCGACAAGTCTCTGGATATCGCCAGTCGGTCGTCTTAGAATGTAAATCAAAACAATTGCATTGAAACTGTAAAAGATTGCTTTGATTTACAAAAGATTGTTATGTACATTTAACCTAATGGGTGTATTATAAAAATATCAACAATCACTCAATACTAATTTAAAATTGATTAAAAATGTGTGCACAATTTATAAGACATAATTTTCTTTTAAATTTAAATAATGTTACAAATATACAAAGATTTTTACAAGTACAAGTACTCAAGTACAAGTACTCAGGTCTCAAGTACAAAAAATTTCCGAGTACAAGTTCAAGTACCTACACCTCAAGCAGGGTCGGCTTTAGGCATAGGCAAACTAGGCAGTCACGAGGATTTTTAGAACTTTTTTTTAGAAATCTTACTTCGATGAATTAATTTTATATACCCAACTGTTTTATTTTTAATTAACCGCAGCATTATGTAGCAAGAATTTATCATAAAACAAACGTATTCAGGTTGCAAATTTTTTTAAATGTGTAAAATTTTCTTGTGCACATTTTTAAAAAATGTCACTTGGGGCCACCAAATTTTCTTTGTCTAGGGCCTCCTACAACCTAAGGCCAAGTAAAAGTACAAGTACAAAAGCTCAAATACAAGTACTTTTATCTAAAATTCTAAAGAACAAAAAGAACACTAAAGAACAAAACATATAAATAACTTCTATTACAAATCAATAAAAAATTCAATCAAGTTTTATATAGTAACTACGGATGTACCGGATTTAACATTTTTCGATCTGCGTGAATCAGATGGTCCAAGCGATACGATCGTAATTCTTCAGCCTCAAATCATTTTGCACATATATAATACGTTCATTAATTGATATAAACTTATGTACATGTACAATTGTACATGTTTGTTTACATGTAAACAAGTGTGCACAATTTGTAAACGTAGATATACATGCGTGTGTCCAAATGTAGACAGAAACATAGACGCACACATTGCATATTAAAACTTAGATGACGAAATTCAGCTCAAATTTTAAATTTGGCCTAATCTAGAAAAATGGCCAAAATCTTCAAATAAAAATAAAATATTAGTTTCTTTAAAATTTTTGACTATAATTTAAAAATTTTTGTAAAGTACTTACACGTTTTACTTGTAAACTTTCAAGTCCAAATACGAAAACATTGTAAAACACCAAGTACAAATCTACGAGTACTTTGGTGTCAAGTACAAGTAATTAAAATAAGTACTTAATACTTTACTGAATTTTGACAAACTAGATAAAAATGGTATCTACTAATTGCAGTAATATATATATAATCAAATCTATCAATGGTCCTTTAGGAACAGTTGAGTCCATTGCGCCCAACTATTTTAGAAATTTCCAGATACACAAATTTTTAAATAAATAATTAAAAAACCCACTGATCTGCCATTTCCACAGTAAAACTTGGAACTATTTTGCGACTTTTTGAAAGAGCGTACCTATTGAATAATCAAAAAACAAACCATTTAATAAAAATATTTAGCCTATATTAATTAAAATAAAACAAGTATTTAGATTTAAAACGTTTATGCAATAAATTTCAATCGAGAAGTTTCCTGAGCATAACCATTTAAGAGCAACTTTGATGGGTGTAGTCAGGCAAGATGTAAATAGATCAGCAGGTAAATGTTGACATAAAGGTAAAATTTCACTGGCCTGACATGCTGCTAATAAGATGTACGAATAAGGTGAAGAAATTGACGGAGGTACCGAAATAAATGCAGGATCTTTAGAATACAAGTGGTCCTGTAAAGTGATATATTAAAATTACATTAGGTTCAAAATTACGTTTATTTAAATACAAAATGGACAAATACTAATATATATATAACATCAAAGCTAATTGCAAAAGATCAACAGTAGCTATTAACAGTATATACACAAAAAATACGTTACTTCATTTGCAAAATCAAACTCTTTGTACGTTCCCCCTACGTGAGGATTATTAAGATATTCAACAACGTTACCAGCATTAGAACAGTCAAATACATAAATAGAGGGACTGCCCATCCATATCTGGAGGTCACACACGGACAGTGGTATATACTGAGTGTAGTGCTAAAATGAATCAAGATTTAAATAAATTTAAACAGATTGTAAAAATACAAATTTATAATTGACAACAAAAATTGAATAAAATTTCTGTGTGGTTAAGCACTGCAAGGCACTATAGATGGAAGGACTACTTGTAGACCAAGGGGTTGGAGGTTTGGTACCTGGAATGTAGGCACGTTGACAGGAAGAAGTTTGGAAATGGTGGAGGAGCTGCAGAGGAGAATGGTTGACGTGGCTGCATTACAGGAGATCAAATGGAAGGGTGAGGGTACAAGGTTTGTGGGGGCTAAAGGTGGAAGATATAAGTTGTGGTGAAAGGGGGATGATGGTATGGGAGGAGTTGGTGTGATGGTAAGAGAAGAGTTGGTGGAGAAGGTGTTGGAAGTGAGGCGGAGAAGCAATGGTGTAATTGTGGTGGTGATGGTGTTTGGAAAAGTAATAGTGAGGGTGATATCAGGATATGCTCCGCAACAAAGTAGGAAGGAAGAGGAGAAGGATAGGTTTTATGATGATGTTTCTGACGAGATTGGGCAAGCGGCGTTGAATGAGTTTGTGGTGTTGTTGGGTGATTTGAATGGTCATGTGGGGGCGGATGCAGACGGATATGAAGGTGTACATGGGGGATGGGGATATGGTATACGGAATGAGGAAGGGCGTAGAGTGTTGGAGTTGGCAGATGCACATAGCATGGTGGCAGGGAATACTTGGTTCACAATGGAACCAGCGCGATTTATTACTTATAGGTCAGGGGAACATAGATCGATGATAGACTATATATTGGTAAGGGCCAAACATAGGAAGTATGTGAAGAATGTGAAAGCGATACCTGGTATGTTGCAGCATAGTATGGTTGTGATGGATGTGACATCAAAAGAAATGGGGAGGAGGAAGAAGGATAAGTTTGTGGCAAAGAGAAAGACATGGAAGTTGCAGAATGCAGAGGTGAGGAAGGCATTTGAAGTGAAGGTGGCTGAAAATTGGGAGAGTGGTAAGGATGGAGATGTTTGGGAGAGATACAGGGACTGTGTGTTGGCTACGGCAGATAAAGTATGTGGATGGACGAAAGAAAAGTGTAGGCATGGTGAGACGTGGTGGTGGGATGAAGATATAAGAAGGGTTTTGGAAGTCAAGAAGGAGAGGTTTAGGGTATGGAGAAGGGACATGACGGAGGAAGCGGAGTCTGAGTATAGGAAGGCTAAGAAGGTTGCAAAACAGGCAGTGGCAACTGCAATACGAATAGGTTAATGAAGGAAATGGAATTCGATGTGAGTTCGAGGAAAATGTTCAAAGTAGCAAAGCAGTCAATGAGGGATAGGAAAGATGTTATAGGGAATGGATGTGTTTGGGATGGATCTGGCAAGTTGTGCATAGATGAGGAGGAAAAAGCTCAGGTGTGGAATGCTCATATGGAAAGGTTGATGAATGAAGAGAATGAGTGGGATGGAGATGTGGAATCCGCGGTCACACACGGACCTATAGAGAAGGTGACGATGGAGGAAGTAGAGAAAGCAGTTAGAGAAATGAAACTAGGTAAGGCGACAAGGGTTTCGGAAGTGGCGGCAGAACATATAAAAGCGAGTGGGGTGATAGGAATTGAAGTTATGATGAGAATTGCTAACAGTATGTTTGATGATGAAGGTATACCTGAGGATTGGCGACACAGTGTGTTGGTGCCGTTGTATAAGGGCAAAGGAGATGTGAGAGATTGTGGGTCATATAGGGGTGTGAAATTACTAGAGCACGGAATGAAGGTAGTGGAGAGGGTGCTTGAGAGGAGGTTGAGAAGTATGGTTACAGTTAATGAAATGCAGTGTGGGTTTATGCCTGGTAGGGGAACGGTGGATGCGTTGTTCATGGTGAGAATATTGCAGGAGAATTATAGAAAGAAAAAACGAAGATTGTACATGTGTTTTGTGGATCTAGAAAAGGCTTTTGATCGAGTACCGAGGAAGGTCATTGAATGGGCGTTGAGGAAGAAAGGAGTGAATGAGAGACTTGTTAAAGCTGTGATGCAGCTGTATGAAGGGACAAAGACAAAGGTGAGGGTTGGAAGGGAGATGTCGGACGCTTTTAGTGTTAAGGTAGGAGTGCATCAAGGATCAGTGTTATCACTGTTTCTGTTTGCAATTGTGATGGATGTTGTGTGTGGAAATATAATGGAGGGGTTGTTATTTGAGATTTTGTATGCAGATGATTTAGTCTTGATGGCTGATAGCATAGAAGAATCGCAGTTAAAATTTGACAGATGGAAAAGTGTTATTGAAAAGAAAGGGTTAAAAGTTAATATTGGTAACACGAAGGTAATGGTGAGTGGGGAAGGTGGGGAGCGAGTGATAAGTAAAATAGACCCCTGTGGGGTATGTGACAGGAGAGTGAAGGCTAACTCGGTATTGTGTATAGGATGTCAGAAATGGGTGCATAAGAGATGTAGTGGTGTGAGGGGGGCACTGAAAAAGGTGGAAGGCACGTTCAAATGTAAGAAATGTGTTCATGGTCTGATTAATAGGACAGACGCAAGGACGGGGTTGAGTGGTGGTATTGAAAGAGTGGAAAGCTTTGTTTACTTAGGGGATAAGCTGAATGCGGATGGAGGATGTTTGAGCGCAGTTACGGCTAGAGTTCGTGTGGGATGGATGAAATTTAGGGAACTGGGTGGGGTATTGTGTGGAAAGAAATGGTCAGTGAAGATGAAAGGGAGGGTATATAAAGCATGTGTGAGAGCAGCGATGATATATGGTGGTGAAACTTGGGTGTTGAGGAGAGAGGAGGAAAGTGTACTGCAGAGGGCTGAAAGAGCTATGGTGAGGATGATGTGTGGGGTTAAAGTGAAGGATAGGAGGAGTAGTACAGAGCTGATGTCAATGATGGGACTGAATGAGGACATTGTGACATTGATAAGGAGATCGAGATTGCGGTGGTATGGACATGTGTTGAGAAGGGATGAAAGGGTCGGGATTAGGCGAGCGTTGGAGTTCGAGGTTGAAGGAGTGGTAGGAAGGGGTCGTCCGCGATTGGGATGGAGAGAGCAGGTGGAGAAGGACAGGGTGAAAGCGGGGTTGCGTGATACTGAGGCGAGTGACAGATGTGGATGGCGTCGAGGGGTATTTCGGTTTCATCATAGGTAGCCAAACGGCAACCCCCGATCTCGGGGAAAATGCCGTCTAAACGTGTGTTGTTGTTGTTGTGTGGTTAAGCACTGCTATAATTTATTGAAGTTTAATTATGGCAGTGGTTTTGATGGTTTTCCTATACTTAACGCTGCTATATTTGATCCCTACTAAACTCGGCTGCAACTACACTTGATATCAATTATATTCAATCTCCACTATACCTAATTCTAACAACACGTAATTTCAAACTTCAGTTTTCAATAGTTATTTTCAACAACCAACGACTTTTTATATATTAATATTATCCCCATATTTTTAAATCCGGCTCACAAATCCAGGTCAGATTTTCTGAATGGGGCGATTTTTTTCCAAACTAAGATTTCATGTGTCACAACACCAGGCTATTTTAGATATTTTCTTTCAATAAACGAAAAGCATAACAGAGATCAAATCAACAGTTCGATATTCAAATGAGGATAAATCAATATTCACGGTTCAGTTCGTTACTAATATTGCTAATCAACAATTCACTACCAAACGGTTTTTAACATTACTAATTAATATAATGGTACAAAACGATTCTTAATATTACAAATTAATATTACAAATTAATATTACACTACTAAACGGTTCTTAATACTACCATTAATATTACGCTACAAACAGCTCGACAAACGGTTCTTAAAATTACTAATGTACTATTACGCTACAAACAGTTATACAAACGATTCTTAATATCATCAATTAATATTACACTACTAAACGGTTTTTAATATTACTAGTTAGTAGCACAATACAAAACGGTATGATACGATACAAAAAAATATCAATTACAATACCACTTTTATACAATACAATTACACAATTATACAATTACCAATTACAACACCAAACTAATCTTAACACATACTGTATCACGAGACAATAACCTACATACATACTAAAAAAATATCAGACTTGGCACTTTAAATACTGGATCGCTTACTGGAAACTCCATGGAGATTGTCGACATGCTTGGAAGGCGAAGGGTTGACATATGTTCTCTGCAGGGAACAAGATGGAAATCAAATGGTGTCTCTCTAATTGGGATTTACAAGTTGTTCTGAAATGGCCAAAAGGCAGCCCAAAATGGAGTGGGAATCTTCATACGGGAATCACTGGCACAAAATGTACTGGAGGTGGCTCGAATCAGCTTACGCCTGATGCTGATTAAACTCAGAATGGGAAAACAGGTTCTGACTGTTTTCTGCATATGCACCACAGACCGGTGAATCTGAAGATGCAAAAATGACTTCTGGAACACATTCTCAGATGCCGCCAGGAAAACACCATCATCGGAGATACCATTGATATGTGGCGACATTAACGGCCATGTTGGAGATAAAGCACATGGGCTCCACGGTGTCCATAGAGGCTTTGGCTACGGGTCTCAAAACGAAGACGGTGTACGGATTCTGGAATTTGTTGAAAGCCATGAACTCTCCCTGTTGAACACCTATTTCAAGAAGAGAGCAATACATTTGTTAGGCCCACTCCTTTTTCTCCTGTACACTTCAGGAGTAGCGAAATTGTTGAAACATAATGATCTGCGCGTGTACGCATATGCAGATGACATACAGATCATCAGCAGCGCTGGGGTGGGGTCGGTGGTGGAAATGGTTGAACTTGTCTCAGAGAAAATAATGTGCCTAAAGAATTGGTTGGGTTCGTACAGACTAAAATTAAATGAGGAAAAAACACAGGTAATGTTGATTGGAACTAAACAACAGCTCTCGAAAACTGATGTAAAGAGCATAAGATTTGGGTCTGTGATGGTGCCGTTCACTGGTGTGGTGAAAAATTTGGGTTTCTGGTTGGACAGTACACTGAATATGCATCAGCATGTGAATAACC